AGACGAGAAAGGAAGAAAATACAAGGAGAGTTAACAGAGAAAAGGGGAAGTAGGGAGGCGAGACAGATAAGGCGTAAAGTACCTCCACACAGCGCGCACGCGAGAGCAAAAAGAAAACAATGCTCAATTGTTTCAACTTGGGAACACAAAGCACACTTATCAGATTTAAGTTTGTATCCCCAAGTTTTCAATGCGTATCGAACTTTAATTGCGCGGTGAATTGTCAGCCAAAGTATATCGGTTTTCTTATTCTCAATCAGCTTAAGGCGAGACTTGCGCCAGACCGCGGCCCACCGGTTCATCGGCCTCTTAAGTGAAGCGGCCTAAAAACTGGAGGAGGCCGAGCGGCGCTCGAAGGTCTAGTAGAAGACTATACAAGTTTTTACAAGAAAAGTCAGCCCGGTAAAGAACCGTGTTTACTATGCAAAAGAGGATAGCAAAGATAAGCAATTACGGTAAAAAGCAGACGGCTCGAAGACAAAGGAATTGGCGGAAGAAAAATCAAAATAGGATCAAGATTAGTAAAGCGATTTCCGAAAAAGTAACGAGCTAAAAAGTGCCATTTGCATGTGCGGAATCCTCCTGATACCCAGAGAGACTCGACAAACGCAAACTCGAACACTTGGTTTTCAAAGTCAACAATGTTGACACCCCCTTGCGATGGGGGGCCACGCAACGCTCGCTTACAGTTTCAGATTTTGATTTCCAGATGAAAGGCCAAACAGCTCGCTTGTATTCAGTGGAAACCCATTTTGGGGGGCAGTACTTTGGCTCCAGCCAAAAATTTACTAGTCCCGAGAACGTTTAGGATCATGCCTCTGCCTAGAAAAGAAAGATCTCTTTGCGACCACAGCCCTAAAGTTCTCTTTAACTTATCTAATTTACAACGCCAATTATCTTCATCAACGTTTACTAATCCATTCGAAAAATAAACTCCTAAAATCTTAAGTTTATTAACCCATTGTAAGCCGGGGGGAGCGCCATTAGCTCTCCACCACCAAGCCACATTGCTTCGGACTTGGTGGTGTTGAGCTTGGCCCCAGACCCCTCTTGTACTTTTAACAGTCTCTAGAAGGTGACAGAGATCTCTCGTTCTTACCGAAATTGGTGGCGTCATCGGCATACTGCGACATTTAAACTGAAGGCTACCTGCTTGGGGAGCAGGAAGCCTTCGATCGCAGGGTTTTTACGGATCTGATTAGCTAGAACTTCAGAAGTTAAAACGTAGAGAAGGAGGAGGAGAGGACATCCCTGTCTAACCCCCTCTCTAGGAAAACAGGAGTAGAAAGTTTACCATTACAAATAATCCGCGAAAAGACATCAGAATAAAAGATTGAAACCCAACGACAAAAGGACGGACCGAAACCAAATTTACTTAATACTCTCATGAGGAAATCGTGATCTACTCTATCAAAGGCCTTCATCTGATCAAGCGTGACTAAAATTCCTGTCTCGTCCGTTATGTTTATCATATCTAAGGTGTCGCGGATTAGATGCAAATTAGAGAAGATCGATCTCTTAACTACACTACAGGTCTGGTCAGAGTGGACGATTGAAGGCATAACTTGTTTCAGACGGTCAGTAATTGTTTTCGAAGCTAATTTGTAATCACAATTAAGAAGTGATATAGGCCGCCAATTTTTTGGCCTTATCATCTTTCTTCTTATAAATAAAGGCGCAAAGAGGGTTTTCGCTGGCTCGCACAAAGTGAGCCAGCCCAAAAACAGTCATTCAAGACAGAAAGCAAAGGATTGCACAGTAAATCACAGAAAGCCGAGTAAAATTCAACTGGAAGGCCATCAGAACCAGGCGATTTACCGGTCTGAAGGCCTTTCAAAGCGGCAGAAAGCTCTTCTTTTGTGAGTAATCCCTCGCATTGTTCGCGTTCTGAATCAGACAAAGAAAGGTCAAGATCATCTATAATTTCGGTCTGAATTTGCATGTTAAGGGAATCCTTAGAGAATAGCGCTTTGTAAAAGTCGACCAAAATAAGCTCAATCTCATTATGCGAAAACTTTTCCTCGCCAGATTCATTGAACAGTGACTCAAAAATACTTTTTTCTGCGCGTTTACGCTCGAGGCGAAAGAAGAAACGAGTGGGCTTCTCGCCCTCCTCGATCCATCGCGCCCGCGAGCGGATTTTCGCGCCCTCGCACTCGTTATTAATGACTACCTCTAAGGCGCTCTCAAGCTTGTTTACGTTAGAAATCTGATCGCGATCGCCGGCAAAGACAGCCGATTTAGCTCTGAGTAAGCGTTTAGTCAAAGAATTGCGTTCGGAAAGAAGTTTCTTACGTTTCCGAGAAGAAAAATCAATACAAGTACGATGGATCTGAATTTTCAAGTTATCCCACCAAGCTCCTAGCGAAGTAAACACAGGGATTTTTTCTTTTTCAGCGGTAATCAAAGAAGTCATAGTACTAATAAAATCATCATCGGACAGAAGAGGACAGTTAAATTTCCAAACACCGCTTCCGTGAAAAGAAACATTAACGGGGGAAAGAAATAAATCGACAAAGTCGTGATCGGAGAGAGGGGAAGGAAAACATTTGTTCCCGCGAACTGACTGAAGGAGAGGGGAAGAAATAAAAAAGCGATCGAGGCGAGAAGCTTGGGAAAAATCTTTATTAGACCAGGTAAAAGAGATCGCTTTGGGATTCCTCTTACGAAAAATATCAACAAGACAGAAATCGGACTTAGGGCCGACAAGCAGCGCTTATCTGCACTAAAGTCCGACTTAATATGTAGGAGATCGAGTTCAGAATCAATACAATTGAAATCGCCGCCTAAGATTAAATCGCCAGGCGACAGAAAGAAAGTATGAAGACGATTAAAAAATAATTTACGGTAGGTCACGGTGTTTGGAGCGTATAGACAAACAATATTAAATTTAAAGGAATTAAAATCAACAAGAAGGCTTAGAATTCTACCATCAGTGTCGTGGACATAACGAATAATCTTACCTGAGAGTTTAGGAGAAACAAAAAAAGCTACGCCGGCAGATTTGCCGATCCCGAATGACCAAAAACATTGACCTTTAAAACATTTCTCAATTAAATCAGCTTGGGTTTTACAAGAAATATGTCTTTTGTAGGAGGAAAAAATCATAGTCTAAATTTTCATTCAACTCATGACGAAGGAGATCGCGCTTACAAGTAGTGCCAAATCCACGAACATTGATGGTGAGAATTCTAAGTGGGGTATATGCGAAGGTAGTTAATTAAAATAAATTAATATGACTTACTCTTACGCTTGCGATGGGACACCTGTGTCCAATGTTCGCTCTCTGAACCAGACTCGCGTTCACTATAATCGTAATGGCGATGAGAAGAGCGATCGCGAGAAGGGCGAAAGCAATCGCGATCCCGCTCGCGATCACTCCTCTCACCCCTTCTGTGGTCGTCGCCATCTTTGTGTCTCCTCTCATGGTATTTATCGTGCTTCCTTCTTTCTCTCCTATCTTCCCGGTCGTTCTCTTTTCGTTTCTTGTCCTTTCGGTCTCTTCGCTCCGTTTCCTTTCTGTCTTTCTCCTCTTTCTCCTCTTTCTCCTTTCGATCTCTTTCCCTCTCCTTGCGATCTCTCTCCTTCTCCCGCGCGCGTTCCTCGCGTCTTAGGCGTTCATCTTCCTCACGTTTGGCTCGGCTGGTTTCTTCTTCAGCTTTCCTTGCATCCTCCGCGAATTTTCCACTCTTAGCAGCGGCGGAATATGACTTCTGAATAGGCCTGTCAGGTTTGGCAGCGGTCACGTTTTGAGCTATAGTAAACAAAAGGACAAGCTGAAATATCGTGGGCATCAGAAAGGCATCTGCGGCATAGCGCTGGCATGTCGCACTGCTCAGCGCGATGGCGGGCCGCTCGCATTGTAGCAACACTGTGACTTGCACACAGCCGCTGGGTGGTCTTCGAGCCGCACTTCCAACACGTCTTGGGCTGCGAAGGATACCAGAGGCGGGCGAACTCGCCAGCGATGAACGTTTGAGAGGAATGGGCGGTCGATGAACATTCGCGCGATGCGAACGCCATTCAAGATGGTGTCGGCCACGTGGTCGCTGCGAAAAGAAATAACTCTACCGTAATGGGACAGACGGCCAATTACGACAGAGTCAGGCAGCTCATCCGGTAATTCATAAATCTTCACGATGGAAACTCGATTTTCACAGTCCCCTATGAGAACAGAGCAGCCGGCAATGTCGATTGAGTGCTCGTTCATGGCGGCATCTTTAACAGCTTTACAGTCGAACGTAACGACCCAGGAGTTGTTACTGGCTCGGCGTTGAATTGCAGTTATGCTGTCAATGTCAATTCCGGCCTTGTCAAGACCGACAATGATGTCCTGACTAGTTATCACTGTATCTACCGAGAAACACACCGACAAATCTTTTCGGATCCTCACGTTGTTCCCACGCACGTTCCACGATTCACACCATATAGCTTGAAAATGATGGCCAGAGTTTTTTTGGGGGGGTAAACAACTCGGGTGTGGTACTGGGTTCCGTTACACTTTCTCCAATCACCTGAATTAGTGGCTGTCCCACAAGGTTGGGAGCAACAGCATTCGACATATCGACGAATGAGATGAGTGCTTCTCTTTTGGCCACCTAAAAAGAAAAAATGCTAGGGGGCCTTCTGTCTTATCTTAGGCAAAAGGCCGACAAGCGATGCCCCTTTAGGTCCTCCGGACCTAGGGTGGTTGGCTCCTTCCCCATCCTAGATATGGTGGTTGCAATACTGTCGCAGCCCATGATGCATCTGGCACTCTATGCGAGGACACGGAGATATCATTGGCTCAGTCCGAGCACCGATACTCGGCCAAGCTCCCCAGGACACTACAGTGTGTACAGACAGAGATCAAATAGCGTCTACACGGTACTCAGGCCCTAACAGCTCGGCCATTAACCTATAGGAGGATAGGGAACACAAGAACGAGGCAGACTGGGACCGCTTACTAGGCCCCAAAGGGTTTTTAAAGCCCGCTAAGCTCCGTGTAAGTGGCCGCATAAATTTATTTAGAGCTACAAAGGAAGACTTCATAGCCTGTTTTGTAGGTCAGGGTTGCCTGAGGAGGGTAATGAAGTAATGCCTCGCTTACACGTTCACCATACTCGGTATAAGAAGTCAAATTTTCTCTCCTTTCTCTCGCCTACAACCATACCACAGGGAGAACACCGGTTCTCGTCTGATCACCGAAGTTAAGCCCTGTCAGGCGGGGTTAGTACTTGGATGGGTGACCGCCTGGGAATACCCCGTGTTGCAGGTTTCTTTTCATTTATTTTTTGTGGAATTTTTTCATCACTTTTGCTGTTTTACCCCTAGCTGGGATGTACCTCTGCTGTCAGTTCCCAAGTTACGTCGAATTATTCTTCGAAGCAATCAAGTTGTGGCGTAATTTTTTTTCACAATAATATAGCTTGGACATAGAACGCGCGTTGGTTCGAGAGCGCGCGGTAATGTTCCATTTTGCTCTGTGACTTCAAATCACCGCTTGTGACATCACTTTTTTCAAATCACAGCTTCTACAAGTCTACGTTCGCATTTAAGTGCAACTACAGGCCGAGAAAACGGCCGCGAACGCCAGACAAACAAGCCAAAAGGCCACATACAACTTGCCCTCGATCGACAACACAAGATCGAGTTCGTTAGTAGTTGTTATTAACGGTCGACAGTTTAAATTAACCGCCGTAACCAGCGCTATGCAGTAAAGACCAACGAGAGAAAGGGCGAGTTCAATATATACAAGCAAACAAGTACTGATTCAAAGCTGTACTCACGGTATAGACGGATGTTTATAATCCTGCTTGCTTCCTTTTTAACCGTCGACCTCCTCTTTCTTGAACATACATCTCTTGCGACTTTCACTTCACCTTTCCTTTGAGAGTTAAACGTTTCAGTCTCTACTCTGCTCTACTGAGCGAGCTCCTTTTTAAATAACATGCTAGCTTAGCTACAAATCAACTTCAACATATTCCAAGATCATTTACCTTCTTTCTTGGTCCCCGGAGACTTCTTTCTCTCCGTGATTTATCGATCGATCCATCACCTGTATGAGAAACAATCACACGCGTGGACGTTACCAATCGGATCATTGGCGCGCGCTTTTTAAAATAACCTGTGGACCGCGCTGAATACAATAATTACTACACAACCGGGGGCTAGCGCGAACGCAGGTCCCAACTACCAGAAATTATATGCTGGAGTTACCCACATTTGGGGTAATCGCAAGGGTCAACCCAATCGAAGTGCAATGAGAGGGCCTCACCTTGAGAGGACTTTTTTTGTTGTTGTTCCTTTAAATAATTTATTTTCAGATCACTAGAAAGTAGTTACAATCAAGTGTACTTAAAAAAATTAAAAATATACGATAGGGTGGGGCTGGGCTAGTGGCACGCGGTCACTAGAACCCAGGCCCCCGAGTCACTGAAATTGCACGTGTAAGAAATAAGATCGATGAACCCGAGGTTTTGGCGGCCCTGTAGAGTTCCAATATATGCCGCCTACTTGCCCGGAGATAAGGATAATTATCGCGATTTAGTTGGTTACTTAATGTAAATTTGGATGTGCCGACTCCTTTACACATATCCACCGACGTTAGCCCCGAATTATTCATTCTCCATCAAGTCACGGAAAATCAGGTAGAAAGGGTGATTAGAAGCCTACCATCTAACAAAGCTCCTGGAATGGACAAGATATCTTCTAGAATTCTTAAAGACAGTTTACCCAGTACGCTAACAACAATTACCCACATTGTGAATAACTCCTTTGTTACCAACACATTTGCACGTACATGGAAAACAGCAGAGGTTACACCTATTCTCAAATGCGGTAATCCAGATGTCCCTAACAACTATCGCCCCATCTCATTATTACCAATAGTCTCAAAAGTCACTGAAAGGTTGGTACATGGACAACTTATGGAGCATCTAATTAGAAATAATAAACTGGCAGCACATCAGAGCGGAAACAGAAAGCTTCACTCGACAGAAACAGCTCTGTTGTACGTTACAGATCAGTTGCTCCAGGCTATGGATAACAAGAAAGGTTCCATCATGGTCTTATTAGATATGTCTAAAGCATTTGATAGTATTCGACACGACATCTTGTTATCCAAGCTACAAAATCTCGATTTTTCCCAGTGTGCGTTGGATTGGTTTCAGAGTTACCTTTCTAACCGACAACAGTGCGTTCGAATTGGTGACGCAGTTTCTAAAGTACTCCCACTTGAGTTCGGAGTTCCGCAAGGCTCTATTTTAGGTCCGGTTTTGTTTACAAGCTATGTTAACGACCTCCTTTCTGTTCCTAAACGTTGTCTATCTGCCTCCTATGTTGATGATTGTAAATTGTATTTGTCCTTTTCACCTGCCGAATTACCCACGTCCATCCTCGCCTTAAACGAAGATCTTATGAGAATATCTCAGTGGTGCTGTAAAAACTCTCTTTTGATTAATCCGGACAAAACTAAGGTTCTAGCTGTTGGATTACCACAACTTTTAAAGAAACTGTCATCATTCAGTATAACACTTTTTGACAAGGAAATAACACCTGTGCCTGTCGTTAAGGACTTGGGTGTTCTTCTCGACACACGCCTCAGTTATAACCAACATATCACTGAGATTGCCTCTAAATGCCTTTTTAAATTGTACCAAATTAACAGAATCAAGCACCTCCTGGATAGGAAAACACTTCTGTTAGTAATAAATTCATTTGTCTTTAGTAAACTCCAATACTGTTCAACTGTCTGGAGTAATACCAGCAGCAGCAATATTGACAAGTTACAAAAAGTCCAAAACTTTGCTGGGCGAATTATTCTGGGACTAAGAAAGTATGACCATATTTTGGATGGGACGCGATCGTTGAAATGGCTTCCTATTAGAGAGAAACTCATTTTAAATGACGCTACTATGATGCACAAATGTATTAACAAGCTTGTTCCAGACTATCTTGCTGATATGTTTAAATCACGTTCTCAAGTCCATAATAGACAAACTCGATCATCTGGTGCTTTGGATATACCTTTATGTCGCCTGTCAACAGGGCAGCGCTCCTTTGCTTTCAGAGGAGCCAAACTCTGGAACTCCTTGAATGATAACATTAAGTCCTTAAAATGCCCCAGGAATTTTAGACGTCATCTTGCAAATGTTTTATTAAGTTGATATATTATATTATTGATATATATTTTGTAATTATAATATTATTGTATTTACATTCTCAATTAATTTATACATTTGTATTTTTTTATTCTATTGAGCTGAAAAACCCACTTAGGGAGCATCAATAAAGTGTAAAGTGTATGTATGTACTTACAATGATTAAACTAAGCCGAAATTATGGCGGCCCTGTAAAGTTCTGTAATATGCCTCCTACTTTCTCGGGAAATTCCCAAGTACTACTGGACTTGAGAAGTTGTAATATTGTAGAGCAATGTTAAGTGTAACTGAGGAAGGGGGGTCCCCGGAGCAGGGAGGGCCCCGTGAGTGAAAGGTACTGCCAGGCCCGCCCTACTCCCGGGAGCCTGGTAACTAAATAAGGACCTGAAGGGTCTGATTTTCGATTTTACATAAGACCTGCTTGTGGCCCCACGTCTTCTTGAAAACAGGAATATTATTAAAATTATAAGCGGCACGGATCCGCTGCCGCAGGCGATGCTTTACTTTGCGAATTGTAGCCGAGGCCGGCTGTTGGGAGTTTTCGAAAGCCGCTAGATTCCTAGCCGCCCGGATCTCGTTCAGAGTGACGTTGATAATGACATGCACAAGAGCAATGGAGTGCTTATCGCATTAATTAGTGTAAAAGCCCACAGCCGGTACGCCACAGGTTTGATCTTCGCTCAGAATTACAGAGAGTACTTTTTTAAGCCGGTTGGCCAGTACTTTAGTACAAATTTTATAATCCGTATTAAGCAGAGAGATCGGTCGCCAGTTTTTTAAGAGTAACGGGTCCTCCTTTTTATAAAGCAGACGAATTATCCCTTGCTTTTGCGAGTCGGATAATTGCCCGTGTTCGAAACAATAATTTAGGACTTCGACTAAATCGGGGCCTAGCGAACTCCAAAAGCGTCGGTAAAATTCAACCGGAAAGACGTCTGCTCCGGGAGATTTATTTGTTTGCATCTGGCTAAGAGCCTCGTAACACTCGGAAAGCGTGAGGGCTCCTTCGCATTTCTCCTGATCTTCGGATGTCAGGGCTATATCCAGTTGATTTAAAAGCCAGTCTTGG